ATGGGAGTAGTTAGACACGTTATAAAGTACGAATTTCTTTTTGTATGATATCATGTGTGGCACGAAGAAGTACAGGTGATCGGTATAAGTCGGGTATTCGAGCGAAGTTCAGCGCGATCTAGTCTTGACGATTTTTTTCTTACTAAGGGCCCAGCCAGGTCGAAACGTGCTGTTCGGACCCGAAGTAAAGTTCCGTTTGATAAAAATCTATACTCATAATTCTAAACTTAGGAAATGCAATTGTACTGTAAGGAAATTACTTAATGAACTTTCTTAACTTAACCTAGCATTTTTATCTTAGCAAACTATCGCCATGGCAGTTAACGAAGTTTATCGTTTTTGAAGGGGTCAGTCAACAGTCTAGATGTAATTGGTTGAAGACCAATAAAGTTGGCACTTTTTTTTCTGAATACGTGTTTTTTTTTTAAACACACGAGGAAAAGGAAAGGAAATACAGCAAAAGTCAGCCCCGAAACACCTCGATTTTGTCAATTCTTATCTATTTAATAATCTTCTCGATACGAGTGGCTAGCAGACGATCTATATCATAAGCTCTTCTATAGTACTAAGCCAATACAAATTATCCATACACTATTAAGAACCTTTATTTAGACCACGCTCGATAGTATCACACAGCCTAAAAATACAATGACAAAAATAATTCTCTGCGCTTGTTTATACCTGCCGATTGTGCTAATTTCAATGGACCATTCATTTACAGTTGATAATAGCCGTGTTGTCACTGTGTACCGGTACCGCTACGTCACACTTGTTTTACTAAACCTGTTTATATTACCTATCGTATGTTTGGCACAAGGTCTAAATGTAACGGGGCGTGAACAATTATATCAAGATAAAAAAATAAGTGAGGGTCTACATCGAAAAACAGTCGTTATCGATAATAATAATATTATGCAGAAGTGACATTAGGCGATAATATTACCAGTCAAGCTATGAGGAGACCATTTTTAAGATTTTTTTATTGATAAGGTAGAGCAAAACGAATGCTTGAATACGGCGAAAGATGCGCAAAGCGGCATATTAATAAATATGGATTTTAAGGTTTCCGAAAATGAAGATTTCCCGATTCTCCACAAAAAACTCGAATTTCGAGTTTCTTCGTCTCGCATGGCTTTGAGTCAGCACTGCTTTCGACGGCTGGCCGCCCGTTCCAATACGAGACGAACCGCTATTACCGTTTCAGAATTCGTCACATTGCATAACTGCCGCCTTTTGCATCACGACGTCAACATCACAGCCGTACAATACTTTTTTGTGTTGTTCCTTTATATTTAGTTCTGCTGTCCTGTTTTACAACAACAAATCTTCAGAAATCCCGTTCAGAGCTTTTGGAAAGTTGAAATATCGACAAAGCCAGATACCGCCGGTCTTACGACCAGTGCCAAACGACAACGACGACTTTTTCGTTGAATTCCCCCTTCCGCCCCTTGGAATCATCGACAGATATTTTTATCCGGGGATCCTCGCGTTAAACTTCAGCGCCTCAGCTAGGCAGCACATCTCCGGTGTTCTGTCGCCACTGGTTCCAACTCAACTTGGCCATACTGCGATCCCACGCCACGAAAAGGAGCAGCTGTCTGCGGTCTGAGCGCCTGGGCAGCAACGACACTTCTTTCATAGACGTCGCAGCTTATTCTTGGAGGATCGAGAGTAGTGTTTACTCTGGCCGCCCGTTTCCCGCCGTCAGGTTTCTGCCGGATGCTATTGGTTCCTTGCTTTCCTTGGCCTCAACCGTGGCTCTCTTGCCCTTGCCTAGTGTTCCTTCAGCAAACTTCTTCGCCAGATATTCTGCACCATCCTAAGGCTAACCCGCCGTCCAGTCATTGGCTTGCAATACTCTGTTGCTAACTCCGGGAATCGTCGTGTTGCTCTTGGCCCTTCTTGGTTTAGATCGGTCAGGGGACGTCTCTGAAGCTAATTTCTAGAAAAACAGGAAATTGACGATGACGACGTAAAAGAGTCTATTTGCTTTAAATTTGCGCCCGGAAGCCACCGAAAAGCACGAGGAAACGTGTCAGCAAAATTCTGCCAAAGGAAATAAGTGTACAAGAGAACCCTTACCTTTATTTTCTTCCGTTAAAAGTTTTTATCGCCTGCCACCGAATGAGGTTCCCGGACTGGGTATTTCCAACTGGGGCTCTCCGATTGCCAACAGAGCACGGGAGACAAAGATGAACTTTGCTTTATTTATGATACTTCGAGCAGTTGAGTTTCCCCACATTTTCCAGAAGGTCACTGACTGATCAAAAGATTGGATAGACTAATAATAATAGTTCCGTTGCACTAGTTGTGCAATCATTTAGATAATTTTTAATTGGTTAAATTAGAAATGTTACTCTAAGAAAACAGAGCAATATAAAAGTTAAACATTGAGTTTTATTCTGCAATTTTTATTAACCCTCGAATACCCTCGTCCGTCTAATTAAATTTTTGTTACTCAGTTGTACACTTATTTTAGTATTGCAACAAATCGAAGTTAGATATAACTTCGATTTCTACTAGTACGTTCAATAAAATTTCCGAAGAACGACGAAATTGCCTATTCATTCGTATCTTCAGCTCTTGGCAATCGATAAGATCGACAGACAAAAGAAAGATCGTACTTTTCGCAAATACGAACCTAACTAAAGTGTCTGATTATCATTACTCAGAACTTCGTCTCCTAAAGGAAACTAACTTGAACCGTGCTAAACTTATATGAACACCTTCGGTTTGTTACTTTTTAGTAATTTTTCATAATTCAAGCTGATGATTACATATAGAACACATTTGAAAAATGTTTTTTTATTTGGTCAAATACTTTGTAGCTACGTGCTCGCAGAAGTGGCCTAATCAAGATATCATAAATTTAGCCAGTGTTCCTTAAATTGACATACTTAAAAAGCAATCTACATTTTACATGGTTTCTAAAACAGTATCGAGTTGTTTGTATTCTCTAGCTAAACAGGACAAAAAATAGTTGTTAAACTTCGTTTGAATAGTATCACTCGAGGAAAGAGCAACACTGTTCCGAAGCATAGAACTAGCAAGTATTTTTCTATTGCTAATTGCATAATTGGTCATTTTATCAAGTTCAATGTCGGCGCACAGGACCTGCTCAGCGAAGGATCAGACAGGCAGGAGCCAGCTTTTGGTCGCTACGAAATGTAAAATAATCTGGGAGTCATTGGCAGACGCCCTCTGTGTTTGCTGATAACTAAAATTAGATAAACATCTAAAGGCATTTTTATTGCATTTCCTCTATATAATTTTTTAAAAGTGTGATTATCTACAAATAACATCTATTCTAAACATAAAATGTGTTACTATCTTAAAAACTTTCAATGATTTTTTTTTAAATTCAACGAAGAATACTTAGTCGAGCAGGCATGCGATAAAAAAGAAAAGAACTAGATAAAAGGATGACTTGATAAAATAAAAGAGAGAAACTAATTATTAGTCTAGGCATTTAGATCGGTTCCCTATACATTTTCTGAACAATTGATTTGTTTGGCTCGAGAAAGGCGAAAATTACAACTACTATAAAGAGGCGTAGAAAAGTCAGCTGTATACTCTTGCACTACGAGACATAATAACGAGACCAACTAACTGTCCAGTTTAGATAAAAAGCACTAAATAGCCTATTTTTTCGTACGATACATTAACTGTTAAACAAACCCGCATAGCTATGAAAAAAACTGCCACAAAATTTCTTAATTCTTATTATGTATTATTTCTTATACATATATAACGGAAGTATAACCTTAATCTTAATTGACCACTAATAGCGATCGGCAAGATCTTTCCGAAAAAGGTATTTTTTTTTTAACTCATATATAGTTAATGAACCCTTTCAGTTTTTTAAAGGCATAACTAGTCTGACCAAAGTTGATTCTGAATTTGTGAAGACGGCCACTGTTTAGCGCCTCTCGCGAACGGTAGCGGACATTGGCGTCAACTCCTAATGATACGGCGTCATACTATGCTGTGTTGTTAAGCTGTCGGTCAATGGCACCAATGCAATCGCACGCTGATAAGCAATACGTAAAGTTCGAAAGCTGCCAAAAACTAACGACCGTGGGACTCGGCTTAACTAGAACAGTGAAAACGTAGCAGTGGTTTCTGGCAACACAGACACGGACACCCACAACAGTAGAAACAACAAGGGTAACAATACCAATTGCAATAACAACAACGACAAACGATCCCATCGACGATGAATGCGCAGTCGGCAATATGGCGATTCTTTGCTTGTCTCTGGCTTCAAGATAATGTTCCTCATACTTGCATCAGTATTGGTTAGCTAGATGGTTCGAGAAGTTGCTACTATTCTAATCGTAAATCGAAACTGGCCGACGACCCAGAAGTGAATCACCTACACGTCTTATTTGTATTACCCTCCGTGTCCCCATGACTAGCTTTCAACCTGGGCATCAGACTTGCTGGTAGCCAGCCGTGAAACACGAAATAGAGCTGGTAGCCAGCCGTGAAACACGAAATAGAGGGGATTATCTGTACCCGCTGCGCGTACGCGTAGTACTATTCAAAACCCAGAGAGAGATCTCGAGAGATTCCATTTGCGAAAGATCTTGAACCCGAGAGAGATTCTAGAGAGAGAGAGAGAGATTCTATTAGATTCTATTTTCAAAGAACTACGGATACTAATCACGCTCAAGAGAAACCGACAGAACGATTCTAGAGGGAGAGAGATTCTCTTTTCAAAGAACTACGGATACTAATCACGCTCAAGAGAACCCGACAGAACGTGCGCTGGTAACCCCGGAGAGATTCCATTAGCAGAGCAGACAGGTTCCATTTTCAAAGAACTGCGGATACTAACCGTGCTCAAGAGAAACCGACAGAACAAGCGCCTTTCAAAAGCTGGTAAAAGCTGGTGAACGACTAAGCAGCAATCTAAGAAACGCGATAGCCAACCGAAATAAACGCGATAGCTAGCCAACCGAAATAAACGCGATAGCCAACCGAAATAAAACACCCTATTATTTCCTCATTGCTTAGCTTACTTTATTAGATAGAAAAAATCAACAAAACTTATCGGCCGAATTCGTCTGCTACCACTATCACTTAACAGAGATCCACTCAGTTCTCAATTAGAGAGTCATATCTCGCCTCCCTCTCATCGTCGACGTCCAATGCGGTCTACGACGTCCAGTGCGAGATGTTCCACTGCGAGTTACCTTTGCAAGTTAGCTAGCTCTGCAAGTTAGCTAGCTCAATATACTCATCATCATCATAAGGTAATGTTTATGATGCTCGTCCGCTCTACTGCGACTGAATGGCTTGAACGATGCACTGCTTGATTTTCGGCAGAACTTCTTTCTGCTTCTCGTCGAAGCCGGAGTCCGCTCCGTGAACTTTTTCCTTCAGGCAGGCCCCGAACACTTCCTGGCGCTGTTTCACTTGATCCTTAGGAATAGAGGCGATAGTCTTCGAACACTCATCAAGGACCGGAGTCAGTTTCTCGACGTAAACGGCGATGCGTTCGGCTGGCGCATCGTTGGCTAGCGGAGCGATGCAAGCTTTCGATTTTTCGAGGCCAGCCCTGTAGTTCGCACGGCGATCGTCAGGAATATCGAGTTTTTCTAGGGCCTTGCTGAATCCTTCGATGATGGTTTGAACGTTGTCTGCGGCAACGCAGACTACCAGAAGCGCGAAAATGAAGCTGCGCATGTTAATTCTTGGTGTCGCTGAAAGACAAATATCAAGTGTTAGTGCGTTTACCTAAATTCAGAAATTTACCAAACTTCAACTAGATACCCAAAACTACACCCGGTTCGATTAAAAAGATGTTCGACGTCTCAGAGTGAGCGTCAATTTAGCTTAATTCCTACTTTTTACCAGTTGTCAGATGATTGAGCTTAACGGAGTTGAGTGGCCAGAATACAACTCGCACGAACTCATAGCGAGCTGCCCCGTACCAAAAATGCCTATTGTAGATATTGCATAGGCGACTACGGAGACCTAATTCTTTAGGTTTAGTCGGTCGATCTTACCTTGGTTGTAGCTCTGAACAACGACTGATGCCTTTCGACGCAGCGCAGTTCGCTTTTATGCGCGAACAGATCACAGTCGAGACGCCGGTGGCTGCTCTCGCTATAGCGGAGAGAGGTTTTTTCTCGAGCGCTGAAAGATACGACGACACGTCAGCGGATTCGAACACTCGACATCACGGTTCGCGTTTCACCCTCTCCCGAAAATTATCCCTTAACTCCATTGGCAGCTGACGTAGCCAGCCTCGTCGAATGGGGCATCTTGAGCGGGAGTGTTCAAACAATGTTTTTCTATGGCAGCCCTTGTTAGAGCTCGTTTTCGTCAGCCTTTACGAATAGATGAAACAGTGATAGCATCCGATAGGAGCCGAAGAAAATAGCAGAAATTGAGGTAATTTGTTTACATCTACCGCTGCTAACTGCCGCAGTTTTAGGTGTGACGATGATATTTCTGATGGTGACTGGACGTGGGCTTGTTAAACGTTACTGTTTGTGCGTGCGTACATTTATGGGAGTCTGTACTTAGTACTCATTTGGAATCTCCGTTTCGAGACTTGTAAGACGCTTAAACTATTGGGAAATCGGAATAGCATCACTCCAATAGCAACAAAAGGCTGGGGGTGACTTATGACTACTGATGATATATGGCCACAAAAAAGTACGTACTTGGTTAAACACTTATCCGCTGTTGAGGTTTGCAGCAACGTCCAGATTCAACAAGCGTCAAGATTACACTAAACTGCGAGAAAAAAAGATGGTTGTGAGGAACTGTGTGTTGCTTAAGGCAAACGGACGATTTCAACTATCCATTCAGTCAAATTCACTGCGCTACGGAGCGTAGCGCTTTCGTAGCAGCGAATTTCTACCAGTCGTATTTTCCTTCTGAATTTTGCTAGAAGCAGATAAAGAAGAGCTAATTTCCTCTTATCTCTTGTTTTTATGTGTGAAAAGGTGGCACGACACTTAAAAACCTTCCGTTTTATCAATCTTATTTTAATTAGCTAATGAACGCTCGTTTTTCCCGGTACTTAGCACCGCGGATTAAGTGCGGTTGATTAACCTGTAGGACAGACGGCGACCTAAATATAATTATTTCCGTTAGGTTATTCTATTATCTAGGCGTTGCTAGCTTTTTCATTTGGCCCAGAGAAACTTTTATCTAGCATAAGTGTGTCTGTTTGTTTGGAGTACCTCGTTTGAAATAACCTGTAGTTAATTTTCATATGATTCGTTAATGGAATCCCTAAAGAAAAATCTGTAAGTCGTTCCTGTACCGGGGACTTATCTACCTGTCCATTATCCTGCCGCGGATTTTTACTGGGGGTCGAAACAACAGGCTCGATTTAGCAAATAGTCTTCGAGCGAAGTTGCCGCTCCATATCGGGAGGTTCGTACTACACAATAGTTGTCATTAAATTAAGGTAAAGTAATGGAAACTTTATTTGCCAAGTAACGTACTATACCGCAAAGCGTTGGAATCAGAACGCTAGATAGTTAGCTCATGGCTGAGCACATGGGACTAGAACGATTTACGAGGCCGAAAACGTACACGAATATTATAAATGATTAGGTAGAAATGAAGATAATCCGTTTTGGTAGTACGGTGCAGTGTTTCTGGTCGTTGCGTGAATTTTCAAATAGTTACCATGAATTTGACCTGCTGCTTCAAAACAGAGCGCAAGAAGACTATGCTATATATATATATATATATATTGTGCAATAAAAATCTTGTGGACGGTTTATAGATGTTTTACTTATAGGCTCTTTTTATTTTAGATGGGGTAACGGCTTCGTGTATGAGCGCCATGGATACACGATTTTTTCGCGGTTAGTAGATTCTTCGGAAAACCTTACGCTGTATAATATGCGTCGGTGCGTTTTATAACGGATGCAATGCCAAAACTCTAAAGTAATAGGATGTTAAACAGCGGTGACCTGAATATCGTTATCTATAACATTTTACTAGCAAAGCAATCCACGATACATCATTGTGACATTTAGACATATAATCGGGAAAGATCGATTTCGATCAAACCTTACGGGTCTTATATAGATGGCCCTTTTCCAAAGACGACCTGCAATGCCACAAAATGCTGCTTTTAGCTTACACTAGGCAAGAAGAGGCTTGCACAAGAAGAGCTCGCTAATTTCAATTGCTAGAAAAATATACATTTACATATAGCTATTTTTACGTACGATTTTTCTGCTTACAAACTAGTCTCAACGTTTTGGTATACTTTACTCTAATTGGTCATTATATTTTCGAAAACTGTTCATTGAGCTATCTATAATTATACTTACGTGTAGGAATCAATATAGTATCAATAACTTATTTAAAGATAAGCGTGTCTTCAATTATGTACAATTAAGATCGGTAGTAGCATACACTATTGCAAGCTTTCGGATAGTACTTTCTGATCGGACTGCCAGGCGTATATGAACTAAAGAGTAATGTTTTTTTTTTGATGCTCATAGGTAATTTAGAATAACAGTAAGTTAATCATCGGACCGATTCAGCGGAACTGAGGACGTTCACGATATTTAGCTTGGTAGATTCTCTGGCTCGCTGTTCTAAACTGGTATTGAAATAATTACTTTTTACAATTGAAGATCGTCGCATTGCGTCTTCGCAGCTTTAGCATCGTCACTATAAACCTGGACGGTAACAAGGGCATTAAAAATCCTGTTGCAGCTTGTATAGTGTTCAAAAATAGAATGAATACATGGCATATTCATGCTTGGAGCCCTATATCGGGCAGTCGGGCTAAGCCCTCTACGTAGCATCGCTTTCTGATATCATAGCGATTTCTATTTACTTCTGCGCAACTGTTGGTGTTCAGCGATCGTGAAGGCTTTAAACGCCAACGGTACTGACAGGGCGTAGCCCCAAATAGTACATTTTTCCTTTTGATTTCTCTTTAGAAGTACCTAAGAGAGAAACTAAGCGCCGAACCGCTCTGTTTTCACTCATGATCCTAATCCCGATATCCGAGTCGGATTTCGAAGCGACGAAGTATCTCTTTAATCCCATTGAAGATTATTTCCTTAGCGGCACTCCGATGCACCATCTGTGGTGTGAGTCAGCTGAAAGCCAAATGATCCGACGATTTCAGCTTGAGGTCACCGAACGCCGAAAGTCTGGATGCGTGCAAAATCAGCCTTTTGCAGCTGATCATAAGTGAGTCCGATGCCGCGAAAAGATCAAAGTAACTTATCGACATTACTTCGTCCGTCGAGGCAACTTCAATTCCGGTACGTCTGCCTTTGTTCTTAAAGAGTGAAAGTGCTATGTTGTGTGTTGTGTATAATAAGGACATTTGTTTTACTTTTAACCAAGCGTCTGAGAGCCACCAGACCAAAGATGATGTGGGCGGCACTTTCGGACATGGTCGAAACGGTATCCGATACTGATCCAGCCCAGAGCGGTCGACGCAGCTCTGTGGAGTAAACAAGCCGATATCTCAGTGCACCACAGCAACAGTAAAGCTTATTAAACCTTCTCTCACGTAAATTCGATATGTGAAGTAAAGAAACCTCGTGACAGTTCGGCAAAACAATTTTCCCCTCTGAGAGGCCCTATTTTATCAGCAGAAGTGTCATGTGTAGTGGAAATAACAATTAAATAGAAGGTGGCCGAATTTTTTCCAAACTGTCAGAAGACCGTTTTCAGAGGGTGTCAAAAAAGCCGAGTCTGTATCACCGACGCTAGACTGAAACAAGCGAAATATCGATGTCTCTGTTTCTGAGGGCCACCGGATGATCTGTGTCAGAGGCCTCCTGGAATGAACTTAGCGTAACTTTCTTTTATGGATGGTAAATGAATTGTTAATTAATGAATAACGTGTTGTCCTGTGCTGTTGAATCGAATGAGTACCCTGACGGCAGCGCTTTCTATACCATTCTGTAACACAATATACATATATGCATGGCATATATCTTTTCAAGACAGACGAAGACAGTATAATTCTTCACTACACGCAGGTTTTGTTAAGTGACGCGTCTTTCATGCATGCACTAATTATAGACGAAATAAATCGGTGTGGATCGAATTCCGTGCTTAGGTACTAAGAGTACTAAGTAGGAAGATCACATACGGATACATTTTGTTTAGACCAGTTGAAAAGGTACGATCGAATCCCTAGCGAGATCAGAGCTTTATTGTTAAGTTTATTCGTTAATTCTGTTCGAATATAAGTACAATTGAACCCCATACAATCTATATACTCAATTTGTTAATTGTTTCTTGTCTATACTACGATTTCTTGTCTTCTATAGCTTGCGATGCGGACGGATAACTAAGAACTACTCGTATACTGCTGTTTTTAGGAGTTCTTAAAATGTCTAATAGTGGAAAATGGCACTAACGAAATAAAAAAGAAACATCGGCTACTCTATGGCCGGTAGCGAAGAGGTATGTGAATGACAGGGGATTAAAAACTTCTGAATTCATACTATTTATTAATCTTCCCATATTGAACATCGTGAGACAATCGTGTACTAAGAATATCCGTCTAATAGACGGAAACGTACCGAGCGCGGGCACGGATAAGCAGGGCCGGTTTTCGCCGGTAGCCTATTGGACCCTTCTGGCGAACGGCCAGGACGTAGGGGTCATGACACAGCAAGATGGTCGTGTGTAGTCCCTGTTGGCTTTATATAATCTGTATATGAAGAGAAGGACTATCATATTTGTAATAGGTCGGATATTGAATGTCGCAAACACATAACGAACTAATTGGTCCTAAACCATTTGACTTCTAATACAAATTTGTGAAGTCCATCGAGAACTACACTTTCGACCAAGTATAAGACATTTAGCCTAACTTAAAAGGTCAGCCATACGGCGATTTTTACGTTACATTCTTCCCCGTCGACCTGAAGTGGGCCTATGTCATTTGAGTAAGTGTAGTGCTGCAAGCCAAGTTCTCAGATGGGTGGTCTAGTGCAAGTAGTGCTTTTGTTCACCAGAAAAGTCTAAATTTTCAATTTGATTTCTATAGGTGTTAGCTAGCTCTTTATGGCT